GTTCTGACATCCTGCATGTGCAGAAGGAAAAGGGAATTAGGTGCAGCACAGAGCCTGCAATCTTTACCCTGAATTAGCAGCTAGAGTTGGGGGTTGCTCAGATGTTGCTCTCGTGGAGGCAAAGAGATGAAGGAGCCTTCCCTGTGAATCAGGACACGCTGTGCACAGTCAGAGACAGCACACTAAAGCCAGGCGTGCTGTGGCTGTGCAGAGGAAGCCCTGGGTGTGAGCAGTAAATCAGGGCCTGCTGGGCCTGTGCAGAGGCTGCAACGCACGGGCAGTAAATCAGAGTGTGCTGTGGATGTGCAGAAGGCGTTGGGAACAGGGAGACAGGACGTGAGCAGCGAGCCCCTTGGTCCCACAGAGGCACAGGTTGGAGCTTGCCATTGAATGGAGAAAAATTCAGCATGCATGTGTTTATGGTGGGAATTAAGAGGAAGATTTACAACGTGTGGGTCATCCAGCTGAGCAAGATGGGAAAGGCAGAGAATGCCTGAGCACAGTCACTGGCTGAGGACACACTGGGAATGCAGGAGGGGCTGTATGAGATCAGGGAGAAAAGGAGCAATGTCCTTTCCCCATGAAGGAAGGGCCAGCTTTAGGATAACGTGGATAGGGCTCAAATTGCAAGCAAATGCAGCAAATGTGCCTCTCACAACCAGAAAATGGAAAAGAGGGATTCAAACGTATCTAGACTTTCATATTTTTCTAAGGTTTTTCTGAAGGAAACCCAGATTCCAGGCAAAAAAAGCAAATGGAGACAGACTTTATCACAGATACATTGTCTCAGGATAATGTAACAATTTTTTTTTTGATTATTAACTTGGACAAGGGGATGCAGAGCATTCTAGTGCAAGGTGTCCCTGCCTATGACAGGAGTTGGAATGAGGTGCCTTCCAACCCAAACCATTCTATGAATCTGTGCTTTTATGACGATTTTGCCCGGTTAGGTTGGCACCCAGTATGAAGCACTTTCCAATGCTGAAAGTCATGGCTGTGGATATAGCAAGAGAAGGAACCAGCCAACCAAGTAAATGATGGGCTGTATTAAAGGGGTGTCTCTGAGCAGAGAAATGGTTCCAGCACTGTTCTCCACCTCAGTCGTGGGATGACCTCACCAATGGCAACAGCAAGAAGTGCAGGGTTGGGAGCGTGGAATCATCATGCCTGGGATGTTTTGGGGGAGGGACACAAACAGATCAGTAGCAAGGTACTGGGGTGGTCTCACCTAGAAGATCATAGAATCATAGAAGTTTTGGGTTTGAAGGGACCTTTAAAAGTCATCTAGTCCAACCTCTTGCCGTGGGCAGGGACACGTTCAACTAGATCAGGTTGCTCTGATCCCTGTCCAATCTGGTCTTGAATGAGTCCACAAATGCTGCCTCTACCACCTCTCTGAGCAACCCGTGTCAGGGTTTCACCACCCTCATTGCAAAATACTTCTTATATCTAATCTAAAATTGATGTTCCTTCAGCTTAAAACCATTACCCCTTGCCTTATGTGCCTGAGCATGGTGCTTTGGAGACAGCCTCCAAAACTTTGCAAGGAAAAAGAGAGAACTGCTCAGTAGTGTAGACTGAAAATTAGATGGAGGCATCCAAGCACAGATGTCTTGGGACAATTTTCAAACAGGACACCTGGAACAAGTAAGTGGTTTGAGAGGATGCTGGGAATGGTACTGAAGGGACTGAGCAAGGGTGGTTTCCAAGTCAGGAGCTGAAACTTACCCCTTGGGTCAAACTTGTTGGTCTTTAGGAGAAGATTTGAAAGGACATATTCAGTTGGGCCATGTGTGTGCCGTGTGAACCGTCTGTCCTATATATGTGCTTCCCTGCGCATTCCACTGCAGTCTGCAGGGATCAGGAACAAACTTCTCTCCCTTGTTCTAAACTCTGGCAGCTGAGCTCTTGGGTTATTTGACCCTCCTGCAGATTGCTGTGGTTGGAGGCAGAACACAGGGCACTGTGTTCTCAGGGATACTCAAGAAACTTAAGCATCCCTGCTAGGGCTGGGGTTTCGAACTAATTACTAGGCTTGGGCTTCAGGGAACTTCTCCAGGCCAGAGGGGCAGGAATGGGGTGTGGATGACAGAGCATACCCTAAACACATCTGAAAGTTTAACCCAGTCCCACAAAGATCAGTTGCTGGTGATTCTCTCCAGCCTCTGAGGTGCTCAGCAGCATTGATGGCTTGTACTGGGACGGGTGATTTCAGGCTTGACACTAACCAGAGCACTTTATTTCCAGCAGATGGGAGACATTAGGGACAGAGTTCAGCAAACACAGTCCAGGTTCCCAGCAGGGCAAGCTCCAATTCTGCCCTCAGTCAGTCCTTTATCCTTCTTGGTTGCCTCCATCCTGCACAACTGTATGTTTTCACAGAAGCACAGAATAGTTTGGGTTGGAAGGGACCTTAAAGCTCATCTCATTCCACCCCCCTGCCATAGGCAGGGACACCTTCCACTATCCCAGGTTGCTCCAAGCCCCGTCCAACCTGGCGTTGAACACTTCTAGGGATGCGCAGCCACAGCTTCTCTGGCCAACCTGGGCCAGGGCCTCACCACCCTCACAGCCAACAATTACTTCCCAATATCCCATCTAACCCTGCCCTCAGGCAGTGGGAAGCCACTCCCACTTGTCCTATCCCTCCAGGCCCTTGTCCAAAGTCACTCTCCAGCTCTCTTGGGAGCCCCCGTAGGCACTGGAAGAGGCTCTAAGGTCTCTATGGAGCCTTCTCCTCCCCAGGCTGAACAGCCTCAACTCTTTCAACCTGACTTCATAGGATACAGACCTCTCAGCATGATTTTGGTCAGGGAAGTCCAAGGGGAAGCACAGCTCCAAGCTGGCCCACACCCAGTCAGAGCAGCACGAGCCAGCTCAGCTCTGACACTGCATGTTCCCAGCAGTGCTAATCCAATTAGAAAACAAACTTCCTTCCTTCATCACTGGGGCCTGTAGTATGTTAAACCAGCTCGCTGATTATGGAGAGCTTAGTGAGAGACTAGAGATCAGGCAATGAATGACAGGGCTGTTTCACTTGCCAGGAGGAGGGACAGAGAACAGAGGCAGCTGGGAGGACACGGGGCATTGCTGGGACAAGGGGATTGGGAATTGCTACAAACAAAAGCCTTTGGTCAATCTTCACGTTCCCAACAGGGTTAACCTCAAAGCCACATCAGATTGCTCAGGCCCTTGTCCCTGTTGGAGATTAGCATCCTCATGAATGGGGATCCCTGTCACCTCTCTAGCCCTGTTGGATGGCTGCCCTCACCCACCTCGCTCCCACACAACACTCACTTCAGTCACAGGATGGTAAAGGCAGCACTAAAATACCCTTATAAGAGAGATTAAATTCAAATTTCCTGGGGAGCTGCTGTTCAGCTCCTATCAGCAAGGGTGCAATGCACCACCCAGACTTGGAGTCATCTATTTTTGGTGGTCAGGACAAAGGAAGGGGTTATTTACCTTTATTTGGCATTGGTGAGGCCACACCTGGATACTCTGTCCAGTTTTGGACCCCAGGTACATGGAGAGAGTCCTGGTGAGGATGGTCAAGGCCAGAGAACATATTGTACAAGGAAATGCTTCAGGAGTTTCACTTCTTTAGCCTGGAGAAGAGAGGGCTGAGGAGGGATGCAATTCCCACAGTGAAGATCAAGAGCTGTTTTGCTGAAGCACTTGGACACACAGCCCATCTTGCAGAGCAGTTCTGGGGTCCATGACTGCTCTGGGGAGCTGCTGCAATGCACACAGTCTCACTCCTCTCATTCCTGTGCCTGGCACGGATACTCCCGGAATGGAGCCAGGCTGCCAGGGCAGGATTGTACTGTAAGGCTGTGAGCACGCTAATAGAGCCAGCACTGGCTGCCAGGCAGTTTGCTCCCTGCCACAGCTCCTCGAGGAAAAAGCCCCCCTCTACATGGAGAGGCTCTCCTGTGCCTCCACTGCCCAGCTGCACGGACATGAGAAGCCTCTGCTTACCCAGCCACAGAGAAGGCAGAGGATCCTCTGGGATGAGCTCCTCGCTGGAGCCATCACGTCACAGCGGGGCTGCTAAAGGACACTCAAAACCTTTTAAGTGCAGCAAGGGCATCCAAGAGCATCTCTGAAGATTTCTGCATCTCCAGCCCTTCCTGCAGGCTCTGGGAGAAAAAACCCTCCTGCTGGAGTCACCTCTGTCCCTGCTGGACAAAATGCCTCACTGGGATGATGGAGAGAGGCAGCCAGGGCTGCCAGCAGCCAAGTGGGCTGTAAGGAGACACCGGGCGCCCGACCAGCTCGATCCGCTGCCTTTTAAGGAGTGGTAGAGGCTGAGGCATCCTGGAACAAGCCACCACAGCTCTGCAGGCTCTCAACCGCGGGGTGCACTCACAGACCACACTGGCCATGCCCGATGGTCCCCACAGCAGCTCCAAACTGTGAAGGACAAGCCAGGACAGCCATCCCCCAGCTACAAATCGAGCCTGGAATATCCCAGAGCCCTGGATTGTCAAGCGGGATTCCTGCTGTGGCTGCAGTGCCCACCCACACAAGGTCCCTGTGGGACCTTCCATCCATCACCTCTGTGTCCCCCCCCAGCAACCAGCAGGGACAGCTTCTTCCTGGCAGCAGGTAGAGGGGAGGATGATGCTTTTTCACAAAGCCTTCATCAAGCCGCTGCTAACTCACCCCACCGATGCCTGAGCACTTTGCTCTGCTCACAGAAAAGGTTTTGCTGGTCCAGCAGCAAATTTGCTGCTGCCATCCCCATCCAGGGAGCAGAGAGGAAAGGGAATGTGCTGCTGGGGAGTAGCAGTGGGATAAAGCTTAGGCTGAAGCAAGGATGGAGGAAATGTATATTTGTGGGTACAGGAGCAACACCAGGAACAAGTTTAAAAGGCAAGGTATGCATGAAACAGTAAAGAACACCAGATAGAGCTTCAGCCAAAAAAAAGAGGAGCAAGCTGGCCCAAAGACAAGGTGTCAGGAAGACAAAGAACAGGACTGGAGTCAGTAAATACTCAGAGGAAGAGATCAGGAAATCTGTGAAATTCAGGGATTTTGCCTCAGACTTACAACAGGTGAAGGAAAACAAGGAGCCAAAAGATCCTGAAGAGCACCCCCTTCTACAGGGAGTAACAGGCATATCCAAAATTGGCTCGTCACTGCCCATGAAGGGTCTCAAAGACATCGCAAGGACATGACCACCCTTGTCCCCTGTGTCTCGGAGGAGTCAGCTGATTGCTTAGGCACAGAGGGTCTCAGTGCATGCAAAAGCACAGGAAAAATCACTTCACTTAGAGCTTTTGTGTAACAAAATGCCCCTCCCTGCCATTTTGCCACACAGTTGCCCCACTCAGGGTGGGATGCGGGCACAGTCCCCGTGGAGCAGGAGGTGACCATGCACCGCTTTATTAGGCAGTGGTGCTGCACGTGCAGCCCAGGCCGGTCTCTATTTACATTTGGCAAAGGATGGCATTGAGTACCGAGCACCTGTGCAGGTGAGGGCCAGCCTGCCCGGCCCCCTGCACCTCGCTAGCCCCGGGTAGGCCCCGCTCGCCTCCGCCAGCCTCCTCGCCCACAGGCACAGCCCTTTTGTCTCTCATGGGCAGTGCCAGGCACCCTCACAGAGGCACCTCAGGCCTGCTACTGGATGATTTATCCCCGTATTCGCACACACTGCCCCCCCTCCCCGGCATCTCCCAGGCCCCAGCTCCAGTCCTTGTGTCCTGAGCTCTGCCTGGAGGCAGGCGACGGCAGCGGGCAGCCGGCGAGCCCCACTCAGCTCCTCGCACAGGGGGTCCCTCCGGTGCCATGCCAGTGGGCAAACCAGTGCACGGGAGCCCTCCGAGAGAGCAGGACGAGGGGTCCGGCTGCAGCAATCCCCCAACGGCACCGGCCGTGCCCAGCGAGCTGCTCGTGGGCTGACGGTCCGGAGCCCATCCTCGGCATGGCAGCGCTCGGCCCTGCGCATGGGCTGGTTTTGGGTACACCCGGCCTCGAGCCTGGCTCGTGGGGGGTGAGTACTATAGGGTACGGATTGCCACCGGGTAAAGCAAGGACATGTGCTCGGCCCCCTTGATGGGCAGCTTGCGGCTGGCGTAGTGATGGATGATCTCCGGCACGCTGTCGAAGGGCGGGCTGTGCTGACCCAGCACGTACTTGTTCTCCTGGGTCCGGGACAGTTTCATGTGCATGAAACCCTGGCTGCTCCTGCAAGGGCAGATCAAGGTAGGGTTAGGGGGTACAGCTGTCCCAAGCCTCCCCTCAGCTCCTGACCCCCTTACCTGAGACAGGCAGCCTGCCCCTGCAGCTGAGGGGGACACTGCTGGCTCCTGTCCCCATGCAGTGGGGTGTGTGGGATCCATGTGGGGGCAAGGACGGTGCCAAGGCTGGGGTAGGTGTGTGTGGGCAGATAACTGAGGGCATCACCTGGGCAGGACCAACAGCAGCTCTCACTGCAGGCTGACACAGAGGTAGCAGCTTTCACCCTTTACATGTGGAAAAGTCCCTTTTGCAACTGCCCTGGCTCACACAGGACCCCTTCAGCTCACAGATCTCCAGCCTCACCGTGGCAAACCAGGATTTTCTCCTTCGGCCAGCAGCCGAAGGATTTTCTCCTTGCTCCCCCTCCCCACACCACTGCTGCAGGCTCCATAAAACCCGCTCAGCGTAGCGAGGCCATTTCCCGGCACAGCACGGGCACCGAGCCACACCAGGCTGTGCAGGCAGATCCTGCCATGAACACTGATTCCAAGTGATGGGCTAATGGCCCTGTTGCTATTAATTTGCGTCTCCGAGGAGAGCCACAGCCTGTCTGCAGCGTCTGGAATGCACATTACAGCAAAATATTGATGACTTAAAAGCAGACAGGGCCTCATCAGCGATGCTGAGCTGCTTCCAGCACTGCACAGCCCGGCCCCATCCCCCCGACTGGAGACGGGCCGTAATGGACAGCCTGGCTGCATTAGCAGGATGGGTTTGCAATCCATTTAGAGACAGAAGCAAGGAGCCAGCTGTCCCAGGGGATGGCAGAGGGGACAGCCACAGCCCCCCATCAGGGGCCAAGGAAAAGTGATAGCCTGGCCACATCCTGTGTCCCCAGCCAGAGCACTGCCACACGGACCACGGAGAGGTGATGTCGGTTGTGTTTTGCCCAAATCGCTCCACAGGTCTTTGTCATGAGCTCAGGGATGTGGAAAGCACACCCCTGGAGAGAAGCGTGAGGGAACACTCTGCAAACCCCAGCAGACAGGGCAAGGGGCAAGTGCTGCTCCTGCCGAGCACCTTGGAGACATGAGGAACGACCCCACCTTTGCAGCGTGGCCTCAGCCATTCTCAGGGAGGCACAAGCCAGGGGGGAATCATCCTCCAAGCATCTGAGGCAATGACATAACCCTGTCCATGACAGGCAGCGTGGGGCTGCCTAGCCTGAACCAGCCAAGACTGTCACAGCAGGGTTAAGTCCTTCTGGCTGCCTGACCTGCTCCTGCTGCTCTCTCTTGTGCATATTTTTCTTTAAATCAGCACAAAAGAGCTTCAGGTCAGCATCAGGAGCTCTTTTCAGACCATCTCCTCAGCTGTGCCTCCTTACTCAAGGAAAAAAAAAGAAAAGTTGAAAAAAAAATAATAGAGCTGCAGACAGCCAGCTTACAGCTACATAAAAAACATCCCAGGGGATTTTCCTTGAACAGACTCTACAGAGAAAGGCAGTGGAGTAAAAATTCTGCTCCCGAGGCTGTGGGCAAGGACAGGCAATGCCCAAGTAGCTCCTGGATGGGCTGCAGTGTCCCCTGGGGAGGTGGCACACTGCTGCACAGCCACATCCTAGCCACCTGAGAGGAGCATTTTGCCACAAGGCTAAGGATGGGTGGCAAGAAGTAAGCGAAAAACCACCAAGAAATGGGTGACTGGCCTGTGGAGAGGTGATGGAAAGCCACCTTTGGTGATGGAATATCACCTCCCAGGCTCTCCAACACACGTGCTGGCTAATGCCACTCACAAGGTGATGGTGACACCTCTCGCAGCCTCAAATACAGCTCATCAACCAGAAGAAGCTGTTGCTCCAAAATGGCTCAAAATTAAAACATCAGTAAAAATTCTGACATAAAAAAAAAGAAAGGAGGGAACTTTTCTGGAAAGGGTTGTTGGCTAATCTGAAAGCTCCAAGTGCAGAAGGAAGAAAGAATACTTTCAGTGGAACTTCTGCCCTGTTTCGGTGTGAAAGGCAGCAAAAAGCGTGAAACAAAAAAACATGGAGAGAGACAGAGCAATCTAATTCACAGTTGTGCCAGTGGGAAATAAACAGGGAGGCCAAAACCCCTGGGGAACAATGCAGGTAAGAGAGACCACTGGGGAAACTCAAAGTATATTGAGAAAAGCACAGGGATTCGAGGCCTCTTGTTGGGCAGAGATGGCTGAAGTGCTCCATAAATACTTGTTTCCCATCTGGCAGAACAGAGCTAATATGGCTGTCCAGCAGAAGGGCAAGAAGGTATTTGCTCATCCATCATCATCTTCAGACAGTAACAGCTTTGATTTCATGGGTTTGCGCTGCCCCAGGAGCCAGGAAAGAGCTGGATGAGGAGCTGCAGCAATGCTTCATGCAATTTTGGCATTCAGGGAATCTGGAAAACTTGGGGAGGATGTGAAGAACCCCCCAAAAACCCCAAGCAGAAGCCAAGCCATGCTGTGGGGATGAGGTGTCCCTGCTGGCAAACCAGAGCAGGGAAAACCCCCTTCTCTACAATGAGGCTGAGCAATGGCTTCAATGAATCTGTGGGCTGGGGTGGCAGGGATGGGTACCCACATTTCCATCTACAGCAGGATCACATGAACTCTCTTTTCCCATGAAACTAAACTACAAAAAAAGGGGGAACAAGAAGGCAGAGCTGAAAGTGGTAACCAGACACATTTAAGTGAGCAGTGAGGCAGATCATTTGATCCATCTGAAGGATTACTAGCACTGCCAAGGAAGAGCAGCGGGCCTCCACATCTCCAAGCCTTCCCAAGAGATGCTTTTGCCAGACACCAAAACAGAAGCCTGTGCCACACCACAGAAAAGTCTGGACTTCATGTTCCACCCCTTTCTGACCACTTGTGGTCGAGAGTTACTCAGTCGGCATGAGCACAAGTTTACTTGGGGCACCCACCCACAGCACCGGGTCACCCCTGCTGTGGGTCCACGACCCCCCAGCCCCTGCTCACTCACTTCAAGGAGAGGGAGAAGTCGTTCTTGCTGGTCTCGCTGTTGCGCACCAGGTAACTGGCCTCCTTGCACAGCCTCAGCAGCGTCTCCGCGTCCGTCCGGCTGATGGCCCCGTGGTACCAGCTGGAGCGGGGAGAGGGATCAGCTGTGCCAGGCACAGAGCAGACACCCTAGGAAGGGCTCTGCCCTGGGAAAGCAGCAATGCCAGCACCCCGGGGACAGAGCGGGATGGGGGGGCACCACCGGGGTTGGGGGACAAGGGGCAGGGACAAACAGGGCAGAAATGTGGGGCCGGGGACGAAAGGAAGAAGCAGGTCTCCCCAGGGGCTCGTCATGGATCCACAGGGATCCATGAGGCAGGTGGAGGGGTCGGGCAGCCACTTGGGGCAGGCAGGACTCACCACTGGCTCTCCAGGGGTAGGGCAGGGTCAATCCTCTCCCCGACAAAGGGGCCGGGCTCAGCCATCAGCGTCTTCGTGCTCTTGAGGCTGCTGGGGCCGTGTCTGAGGGCAGCCCTGGCCTTCTCCTCCCTGCAGGGCGAGGTGCGGCCGTAGCCCAGCCCCTCCGAGGGACCTGCAAGACAGACCCGTGTCACAGCTGGGGCAGGAACAGGCAGACAGGCCGGGTCCCAGCTTTCCCCCTGTGGGAAGAGCCAGAGACACTTTACATCACACTGGATTCCCTCATGCTGCCCCATCCACTTGTTCTAAGCAAGGGAAGGGCAGCTCTTGGGCTGTTACTCACTGCAGTGCCCAGGCTGGGTGCCCACCACACCAAGCCTGGGGCCAGGGTCTGAGCCCATGGAAAAATATTTCCACAGAGGTTTCAAAAGCTCAGGAGGTTTTGCTAATGCAACCATAGATTCAGCAGCTGCGGCACAGAATTAAGTGAGATGCAGCAAGGAGAGGCTCCCCAATCTTGGGGGGAAAAATTAAAATAAAAAAAAAGAGAGGGGATAGATGGAGCTAAAGGGAGCAGTCGGTTTGGAACCGATGGACATGTTTCTGCTGGCACAAGTAAAACTGGGGTGAGAAAACAATTCCTTGAGGTGGGAAGGGGATATTTTGACTGCAGGTACCTCCCTGATGCAGCCATCTGCCTGGCACCAGCCCAGCCACGGCCCCTGCGCACCAGTGCCAGCAAGCACAAGGGACTGACCGAGCCGTGCCCTGGGGACCAGCCTCCCGCTGCCTGTTATTTCCACACAGGATGATTTCAGCATTAACAATATTGTTTCTCCCTCCTCACGAGAGTTCATTATTGCTCCCCGGCACCACCAGCCCCCTCGCACAAATTACTTATCGATCGGGCAGAGCTGCCTCGGTGTGGGGCTGCGGGGGGCTGATGCTGTAGCAGCACAGTCACACTGCAGGTGGCCGAGACCAGGAGCTGCAGCTCCCAGGACAACTGGGATGTCCCAGGCTGGACAACTTCCCTCCTTGCCATGCTTCCTGGCTGCTGGAGGGAGAGGCAAAAAATACCCCAAGAGGGATGTTTTCCTCTCTAGCAGGGCATCTTCTAAGGTGGCTGTTTGGGCCCCACGCAGGTGAGCAGGACTCCACCCCCCAGCTCTGCGAGGAGGGGAAGGCAGCCAAAAGCAAACCCAGTCAAAATCCTCTGCAGCTTAGCACGGCTTAAACCCCCCTGAGCAGCAGCTCAGGGAGGAGGTGGTGCCCAGCATTAAGCCTTGACAAGCACTGCCTCTGCAGTGCTCTGGCTTTTCACAGGCCACATTCACCCTCGTACATCACACCCTGGCTTCAGTTTCAACTCATCACCTTAAAAAATTGGGGCAATCGTTAAAAAGTCAGACAATCAAACAGCCCAAGTGTTTGCTGGCGGCACAAAGTCATTGCGTTACAGGCTCAGAAGAAATGCATTGCACCTGTCAGAGGGAGGCAGAAGCATGTGCATGATTAAACAGGATATTAAAAACAAGCCCTTAGGAGGAAGAAGACATCCTTCAAGACGTTCAAGTCACCCCCAGACAGGGGAAGTAGAAAATGAGACAAAACTCTGGCAAGATAAACTTAACACAACAAAGCAAGGCAAGTCAGGGGGAAAAAAAAGAGACTCTGTGTTGCTAAACTCAGGAAAAACGACAAACTGATGTGTTCATCAGGAGCAAGATGCACATCAGAGCGACTGTGGGGATAATAAATGATAGGGGAAGAGAAGAGGCTGCATAGCAAAGAGATTAATTTTTCTTGACACCTGCATTCATTGCAGGAAGAGAATCAGGAAGTTCCCACCTGCCAAGACCTTTCTTGTTCAGGACTGATCTCAGCCTGCAGCATCCCTATGGATTAGGGAAATACCCAACACAGCCCTGGCAGAGCAGTCACTTCGCTCTGGAGTGTCCCTGCTATCAGCAGCAAAATCAGCTGTCACCTGCAGCCTCATGCTCAAACCCACCTGGGAGGCAGCAAAAGCCACACTGGTTTTATTCTACAAAGCTCTGCAGAGATCTGGGTAACTGCAGATAAGGAAATCAGCCATCCGCACCTGGCACGTCGCAGTGCCCACCAGGACAGCGTTAGTGACGCATGGGCAGGCACGGCACGCTGCTGCTGCAGAGGAACGGCACGCCTCGTGCCCCAGCTCCCCCCGGTAACAACCCCGTCGTGCCTTTCAGCACACTGCCCCCACCTAATGCTCTTGGCAAAATCCTAATCTACCACAGCATAAGAGCGAGGTCCTTAAAATATTAATAAAGGGTTAAAAGACAAGCAGCAATATTTGGCTTTCATAAGCGAGACTGCCGGCAGTGTCCAAGGGGGATTTGCCTAGGGGCTCTGTGCTCGGCACACACAAAAAAGCCTTCACAACAAGGCAAACCTGAGATGACAAAGTGTACCTGGGAGATTTGGCTGCTCAGGATAGCAAAAGCGAGAGCGGAGAATCCAGAGGGACCTCCTGCCACTGAGCAGCAAGGTAATAAAACAGCAGAGGAAACAGAGCAGCGCTAAATGATGAAGAGGGAAAAAAACAGCCCCAAATTCAGCGCGCTGGGACCTGAATTAGCTGCTAGCACACCTGTAAGGGACCTGGGCATTATGAGTTGCAAGAAAACATCAGCTAAATGCTCAGAACAGTTGTCGAGACAACCATAAAGGCAGCCATCAAACATTGGGAATTTGGAGGCAAAGAGGGGAGAACAAAAGAGACAGTACTAACTCTGCCACCAAATAATCTCCTGCCGCAAGCAAAGAGGCACAGTAAAGCTGGAGAAGGTGCAGGAGAGGCGAGGACAAATGTCTGGTGTCCAGTACAGGACAACTGAAGGGGCCAGGAGGGGCTGGGGGAGGGCAGAGGAGGAGGGTGGGTGTCTGGCAGTGCCCTGGGCAAGCCCTGAGGCGTGGCAGCGAGGCAGGGTCACAGCGAGTGCCGGCGCAGCCCCCCCGGACACCCCCCTGTCACGCAAGACCCACCATTGGCGTCTTCATAGCTGTGCTGGCCGTGCTGCGGAGGGACGGGGGCACCGGCCTCGCCGTCCGGGGGGCTTTCACCGCTGTCCAGCTGTCCCACCGGCGGGGGCCATGGCAGGTCTTTAATGACCTTGATTTCAACTGGATTGGGGGCAGGAGGGGGCGGGGGTGTGGGAAAGAGAGAGAAAAGAGAAAGAGAAAGAGAGAAAGAAAGGGCTTAGAAAAAACCATCAGCAACACCAGAGGGCCCATGGAGAAGAGCAGTTTTGGGGGGAAAGACCTGAGGACTAAATTCCCAGGAGCCTCATGTCAGCTTGGTCATCTCATCCCCTTCACAGCACCAAGTAGGAACAGGCCTGAGGCAGGGCACATTCCTGATGGAGAGACCCTGTTCCTCCATCAGCTTTTCCAGCCAATCCTCTCTGGGGCATGGGGGAGGCTGTGATCACCCCGTTACACATACATGTCCCTCGGAGGGACCTTGGCCAAACATCCCATTGCCATCTGTCCTGCCCATGCATTCATCTTGCCCTGGGGGCTTCCCAGCCACCCACAGGATCCACGTTTCCCTGCCAGGCAGGTTGCAGTCTTGTTCCAGTACCAAATGTCCATCAGCAGGGGTCCCAGGGGTCCCCCCAAAGGGGGAATGGGTCAGCAGAGAGATTTTGGCATCACAGGAGGGGAAAAATATCCTCCAAGACACAGCAGGACCTGCTGTGGCTTCAGGAAAAAACAGGCAGCAGGTCCCAACATGGCCTAGGGCATGGCAACCTGATTCCCTCCGGACTCAGAGCAAGGCCTGAAGCACCCTGGGCAGTGCTCATGTGCATCCACATGTGAGCCACACCTGAGAACACACCACTTCCACCCAGGGACATGGAGCAAGGTGGCTCATCTGGCCAGATCTAGAGCATAGACACCTCAGCACAAACCCAGCCCAGCAGGGCACCATGTTCCGTGATGGAGCCCAACAAGCCGAATCCTTGGCACAGTGACCCCAGGAACAAGTAGACACTGTGCCATTGAACCCAGAACACACATCTCCAGCTTGCAGTGCTCAAACCCAAAAGGTGAACCACTCCTCGAGCCCAAATCTCCACATCTCTCTCTGCCAGCATCTCCACACAGCACTGCCAGTCCAAGCGCCCTGCACGCCAGCTGCAGCAGACACACAATGCTGCAATTAAAATGCATCCTAGATAAGAGTGTGGCAATTAGCCAGCACCGGTGGAGGAGCCAGCGCTAATGCACAGCATGGATTTCCTCATTACCAAACACAAACACAATCGATCCCACAGCACGGATAAATAGGTCAGGGAGGCTGGACAAAGCCTGGCCGAAGGCTCCTTGGGGATCCTCCTGCTCCCAGGAAGGAGGGATCTGCTTGAGCCCAGGGCCGAGCCTCTCCCCTGCAATCCAAGGTTGGGGGTGTTAACTTGCACCAGAGGCTGTGATCAGTCAGGGCAGGGAAGAGGCAAAGGGAGCCAAGGCAGTCCTATCCATCACTGCCCAGCCTGGCTCCCTGCTCAGAGAAACAGCTTCTGCAAGTGCACAAGCACTCTCTGGGCCACAGAAATGCAGATGCCAACACTACTGATCCCCAGAAGATGAAGGAGCCCCAAGAATCCAGCTTCACAAAAAGTGCTGGTTGCTTTATGGCTGCTCCCATCACTCACCTGCGAAGGCTTTGGAGATCCGCTCCTTCTTCCACTCCCAGGGCTGGTCGTACTCCTCTGGTGGCCGCTCGTCGTCCTCGGGCAGCCGGGACTCCCTGGGCCTGGGGCAGGCCGGGCGCTCACTGTCCATGTCCAGCACAGGCTCGTAGGGAGTGTCGTAGAGGTGCAGCGGCCGGGCAGGAGCCTCCCGTAAGCCCTTCTGGCGGATCTCTGGCAGTAGAAGAGGGAAAAGACTATGAGCTTTCTGTTCAACACAGCCTGGCCACAGTCCCTGAAGCCCAGCTAAATGACAGGGCTCAATGTCACCCAGAGGTGAAATGGGATAGGGAGTGTCAGTGATAGACGAGACCCCCCCCAAACCTTCAGCAAGCACCTGCCAAAAGCAGGGGAGCTGCTGGGCAGCCAGGGCCTGAGCAGTTCACAGCACTAAGATCTCCATAGTACATCATCATTCTAACTCATGGGCAGCCCTGCAAAGCAGGATCCATGGGGACAGAGCATCCCTGAGCCTGATTTCCTGCAAGCAGCTAGGTTGGGTTTCTCCCCTGGACACCCAGGGGAGTGTGGCTGGTTTAATAAAACGCCCTTCCCTCATGCAAAACAAAGTCTCTTCCACAGGCACAAGCAGCCTTTCCACTGCTTGCTGATTTTTCCAAGAAATACAATGGTCTGCTCCAAAAAGCCACATGAGCTTTCCAGAAACCACTTGCTCCAGGAAAACCACAGAACTGCAAAGCAGAGCCAGAGCCTGTGCCTGAGCAGAGCCTAGAGCGCACGAGCCAGCATGGTGATCCTGAGCGCTGCCTTCAGGAGCACACACTCCCACCTCACTGCCTTCCCAGCCCCAAACAGGCCCACTGGGGACCCTGCTGCTGCGGCAGACACAGCATGCTCTGGCCCAGTCCTAACAGAATTAAATAGCTCCCATATCCATCTTAGTTTTAAGCCAGATGCATGGAATGTCAGGTCCCTCCTGGCTCAGCCTGGCAAGTGGGGTCTCAGGGGGCAGCATCGCAGGGAGAGATGTGCCTGTATGGCCCAGGCAGCCTTTGAGTGCTCTGGCTCTGCCAAACCCAATGCACATGGATAAAGCTGGGAAAATCTGCCTACAAAGTAGCTGTTCCCCATCACAGCAATCACCCAGGTTTGCCTTATCTGGGGGACCTGGTGCTGTCACAGGCTGCAAGGAACAGAGTACAGTGACAACTAAACTGAGGGAGTTTGCACGACCAAAGAGAGGTGCAAAGAGCGGCCTTTGCATGGAGCCTTCCACCTTACCAGCCATCATCTTCTGGGCTTCATATGGCTCCATATATCCATCATTCTCAGTCACCTTCTCCAGCCCTGTCTGGCTACCTGCCACCTGCGCCGCATCGAAGGGATCTGCGTAGTCCTCCAGGACAGCCAGCTGGAAGAGGGGAAGGGTAGGAGAAAGGTTAGGGTAGTCCCTGCCTTTTCTGGGGGGTGCAGGGAGCTCACCATGAGCTCTGCTAGCAGCAGCCAGAGTGGCTGCCGGGAGCCCAAACCTGCATCATGGCAGCCCCCAGAGCAGGTGCTGGCTGGCAGCTGACAGCTTTCCAGGCACCAGCACTCGGCCATGGAAACGCTCCAGCCTTTGTCCCAAAAGCTGGGATGGAGCCAAGCAGAGCAGAAGGCGGCCTGGCCCCCTCCCTCACGATGGGGCTCAGCACTCGCAGTGCCCACGCAGACACCCGGCTGGGTCCCGGTGTGGCACAGGGCTGCCGGCAGGGCCATACCCCCACAGCACACAGATCTCTACCTGTACACAGCCACGTTTCCTCTCCCAAGGTGGAGCAGGGGCACAGATCCCAGAATAGGGGTGTCAGCTGGCACTGGCACGACTGGGAACTCACTGGTTGTTTTCCAGGACTCCTGTGGGCATGTTTGAAGAGGTTTTCTGACAAAAGGGCTGAGAACAGCTTATAGCTTCCTCTCCGCTCCTTCCCAGGCCCCTGCAGCATCCCCGGATGCGCCCCAAATAACACAAGACAGGGCTTTCCTCTGGAAAGCAGGACCAGGAGCCTCTCAAGTGCCATATCACAGGGATGGCACAAAATTCCCACGGTCTGCACTTTCTAGTGAAAAGGAGACAATCCTGCAGTAGGATATGCAGCACGTCCCACAGCTCATTCCCTTCCAGCACTGGAGCCACATGTCTGCTCCAGTATCTCAGTAGCTTGCCGGCGAGGGCACCCCATCACATGATGCTGCAGTCCACAAGAAGCCTGGAGCTGTACATCCCACCTCCAGCCCCAAAGCCTGCTCCCAAGATGGGGCCAGGCAATACTTCCAACAGCATCCAAGTGCACCCAAGCACCTTGTCCAACCAGACACAAACCCCCAGCTTGCAGGGGGGGGTTTGTTACCACAACACAGGCTATGCAGATGTCCCACAGTAACAACCAAATGTCCCAAACTGGCCTGGCAACTGGTGGGATTACCACTTGGTGCCAGGCTCCATCCTCACTGCCACGCTGCCCCTGCTCCTGGACAGCCTTGGAGATCAAGGCTGCTCACACATTCCTCTGCAGCTCCAATAATCGGCTTAAAACAAAACACTTCTCCCTCCTTCCTGTGCAAAACGCCCAACAATAGCCTGTAGCAGCAAAACCCAGCAGGAAAAGGGAACAGGAACTGGAGCTGTAAACACCTCCATGCAGCCCCGAGCCTTCACATCCCTATGAGCTATAGGAGGAACATGGTTCTCCGTGCCCGGCTCACCACCTCCTCCATATACATCCCGGCTCCCTGGGCAGCCAATGCAGTGGGGACCTGAGTCAGCCCTCCAAGTCTGGTCCCTCCATACCAGGGCACAAGCAAGCAGATCATCCCCAGAGCACACCCCGCCAGCCACAGGGCTCACAGCCACCCTGGGCAAGCAGAAAGGGGGGACAGCAGATGCTCTCACCCCTTGGCAAGGCAGCAGCAGGACAGACAGCTGCTAGGGGCACCAGCTCTACCCAAGCCACAGCCTGGTGCCAGCGAGGCCCCTGGTTTTGCAATCTGCTCTCACCTTCATCATCCAAGGGACGACGTGGCATCACTCAGGTCCTGCCAAGCACCAGGGACACCAAGGGGCAACACCAAGCCCAGGGGGCTGCAGCCCTTTGCTTGCCACCACCGGGGCAAAACCCCCCAGGGAAATGCAAGCTGTTGGTGACTTTTGCAGCTGCTTGGTCACCAGGACCTGCTTCCCACCTGCTGCCCGTGAGATCCCAAGGGCAGATCAGCAGTGCTGCTCCAAACACCTGGGAGATCCCATGGGCTGCTCCCACACCTTGGAAGCTGCAAAGAGGTTCTCGCTGCACCACATCTGTGGAGCACAGTCCAGTGCCAGTGACAGTACCTTCACACAGATGCTTGTGTCAAATGAGCTCATGTAGCGAGCCCCAGCCTCCTTACATACACAAATCCCCTAAAATGGCTCAATAGGCAAGGCGGGCAAACAGGCAGGACCATGCCCAACACTCACCCTTTGCAGAGAGCTCTCATGGCTTCGAGCATGCTGGGGGCTGTGAAATGCAATCTGTTGACCCTTCTGGGCTCAAAAAGGGGTTAGCTGTCCATTCCTCCAGCCCCAAGCCCAACCTGCCCATATTCAAACCTGCCATGAACCCCGTGTTTCTAGATGCATTTTGCTAGACCTGGCTGGCTGCCGGTGCCAGTCCTGGACCCTCTCTCTGCCCCATACACACAGAGCAGCTTCAGGCAAGACAAGCCTGAGAGGCTCCCCTGCTTGCAGTAGTTGCTCTGTCAGAGAATCATTAAGGTTGGAAAAGTCCTCCAAGATCATCAAGCCCAACCTTATTTCCAAGCATATTCCTTCAGCATTTGGGACTGGTTTCTCAGAAGAGAAACACATAAGCTTCAGCTAGCTCACAGAGTGGCCCCCACTCAGATGCCTCCAGGTCTAGAAAGCAGAAGATGGTAGAGAATCCTAACAGGTCTCTGTCAAGACCCCTAAAACTGGATATTTTGCTCACAGAGGGGTGCAGAGGCACTCAGGGAGACTACACAGGCTCTGCGGGCAGAGGATGTGGTTTGCTGGGCTTAGGTTGGACCCAGAGCAAATGGCTCACTGCCTCAAGGATGCCGCTTCATAGGAGTGAGGTCTCCCAACTGTAGCATGCTGAGAACATAAACTCACCTGTTTTTTAAATGGTCAGATATTACAGCAAAAAGCCACAGAAAAGGTGAGGAGGCAATTCCTGTCTCCAGGAGCATCACAACCTCGGTATGCACAAGCAAGCACGGGAGAACTGCTACCATGAGCCCCAAGGCTGAGGGGTTGGAGGCTCCAGCCAGTGCCAGGAACGGGGCAAACAGCAGGGATCACACCATTGCTGGGTGCATCCTAATCCCCTTGCACGTGGAGCCGAATTAGGGTTGCCCAGGAAACTGCATCTCTGACATTTCCTAAGCATGCACGGCTCTCAGCAGCAGCCATAGGACACACAGCTGCTCCCCAGTGCAGAAGGCCACAGCTGCTGGCAGGGCAGCTCCCAGGGTGCTCCAGGCTCCTCCACTTCGGTCAAAGGCCAGGCATTTCCATGCTTTGCTCGTGCTCCATGTCACAGAGGATGCTGCTGACCACCTGCTGATCCTAGCGCCTGGGTACGGAGGCATCGCCTGCTCATACACAGCACAAGCTCTGCAAGATTGGAAATAATTTGGGTGCAAAGCAAAAGCCCGACTGCAAAGCCACCACCCCAGGGCAGCTCTTGGTGCAGACTAGTCCTTCAGGGAGCAGCTGGGCACTGCTGGCATCTGGACACACGTCCTGCTTGAGCATAGGAGTGTTTTTCAAACCATGTGTTATCTGCCATATAGTGTTATCTGCCCAGAGTGCTATCTGCCATGGCAATGCACATCCAGATCCCTGCTGCAGTTCTGAGGCTAGTCTCACTCTATTATTTATGCCAACAGTAAGAAAAAAAAAGAAAATCAAAGGAAAATTAAGGTGAAGAACCAGATCATCACTGGGCTCTGACAAATGGCTGCAGTAAAAACGCTGCCCACCAGTCAAGGCAACAGACCACAGCTCTCCAAGAGCATTCACAGTTCAGACACCGAGATCCCAGGGCAGAGCTGGGGCTCTTCACCCCATCTTGCCTAGAAACATTCTACCTGCCCCCACAAGATGCTCCACTCTATAAAGAGGTTCCCAGAGAGTATCCTGGGAGATCCTTCACTTTAAAAACAAGTTTCTTGTCCTGGACATAAAGCGTGTTTGGGGTCCCCTCAGGAGATTGCTGGGTTTAACCAAATTCAGTTCATTCTGTCAGGTGCAAAATTCCCCCAGTTTTACACATCTGGCAGCTTGGCTTTCGGTAGGTGCTGAAGCCAAACCCAAAAGTAAACAGAGCACTATCTCCAAGAAGGGTCTGGTCCGCAGCCCACGGAGCACGGTTGGGCCAGGCAGGGAGCCCACGGCTGCACTCGTGGCACGGGAGGAGGGAGCAGGGGGTGGACAGCACGGCATCGTGTAAGATGACTCAGTTCAAGGAGGCTCTCACAGGAAAGACACACGCCCAGGAGCTTCCTGGCCGGCCGTTCCCACACCCTGCGGCACTGACCCTGCGCTCACAGCAAGAACGGCAGCAACCGGTCCTGGCGGGCACAGGACAGAGATGTCCCCAGGCAGATCCTCAACACCATCCTCAAGCACACTGTGCCCCAGGTTCAGGTGTCCACATGCAAGAAGGTCCCTCCTCACATCTTTCCCCACAGCACCCCAGTGCTCCTTGTGCCTAATCCAAACAGGCAGAGAAGACACCTTCAGGGCATCCACCTGGCTCAGGTGAACCACACAGGGCCAGTCCGCTGTCCACTCTGTGGGGAAGGGCCTGGCAGACCAAGCAGATGGAGAAGGATCTGTGCTGGTCCCCACCATGCCCAGTAGGGTTTGGAGAGCAGTAGGAGCCATTGCAGAGCTCACTCTAACGTGTCCCCACAAGATGCTGCAGATCCCACACAAGGTGGAAAGATGTGCCGGCTCATGCTACAGCAGTGAAGCATCGTGCAGCCCAGGCAGGAAGGATGCCACTGCCAAGATGTTCCTGCCCTGTCTTCCATTCTCCTGAAGGGTCACACCAGCTATAGCAGGCACAGGGCTCCCAGGGAACACGGTCAGCCCCCAGACTCAACCCAGTGCCCGTTCTGCAAACCACACGGCCTCAGCCAAACCACTGAACCAGGAAATGGTGGCTGCTCCTTCCACTTCTGTCCATCCTCATCATCCCCACTCAGGACTGCACATTTTATTAGAGTGATTTTCACCATTAACAAAAACCCTCTCTGCTCCAGCAGCCTCGCCTGTACCCAGAATTATACTTCTCATTCATCTCCAGCCTCACCACAACCCAAGGCTCACATCTGTGGGTCTGGAGTCCCAGTCCCTGCAGCAGGCAGGGAACAGTGCCCACGGCCTCTTCCTTAGGCGTGGGAGCACTGATCCCCCTGCACAACCATCATCTCAGCAGAGGCTCCAGCCCAGCCCCAGCATCCCTTCCCTGCTCCAGAACACCTTGAAATCACCAAAAGCAAGGGTCACAAGCAGCAGTAACTCTCCAGCAGGCACCTCCATCCTCCTGCACCACCTCCAGGAAGAGCCACCATGAGGTTGGAGCAGCTGGGGAACCCTCCCACCACTCAGCCCAGCACCAAGGCCAGCAGATGGGAGCTGACACAGGCATATCAGCCCAACAGAGATGCTCCACGTGGTGGATGCTCCCTGGCTCCTCCAGGGGAACTATTTTAATGGAGAGCTGCATTGGAGCTATTTTAATGGAGAGCACTATCAGCGCTCCAGCTTCACCCAGCCTCTGGAGTTCTGCCTGGATGTCCATCACATACCAGGAAACCTCCTCCCCAGAGAGGCACGAGGGAGATCAGCAGTAATCTAATCACCATCTATCTTGGACAAGATCAAGGATCTTCTTCAGCCCAGCGCTGTTAGCAGGGTTTCCCCAAATGTATCCCAGCTTCTGAGTTTTCTCTAAACTTTCCAGATTCTGCCCAGCCTTCAGATGCCCAAACAGCCTGGCTGTACCTGTCAGCAGTCCCTGCTTCCCTCAGCTCCTGCTCACCCCTTTGCATATCACGGCCTGAGTCCTTCCTATGACAACCACCCGCTCCTGCTCCCTCTGATCCCGCAATGCCTGTTCCAAAGGAAAAACCATTCCAAGTCAGCAAACCACAGCACCACAGTGGCACCTCAGGTCCCTGCTGCCAGAGCCTCCCCCTCCTCTGCTGCCCACTGCAACCAGTTTACACAGCTCAAAAGGGGGGCTCTGCTGGGCCCCTCTGGAAACCTCAAAAAAGCAATCAGTCAGCACGAGCAACTTCCAGAGATCCACCAGCAACAAGTTTTTCTATCTGCTTAAAACACTCCCGAGCAGATTTTGCTTGGTGCTCATTTCACCAGGGCCACGGATGGGATCACTGACTGTATCCACCATTCCCTCCGCCAGCCAGCCAGATCTGCAATCCCGTCGAGTTCGCCTGACAAGCCCCGTCTTGCAGGCGGCAGCGCTAGCGGGCACTAATTACCCCTCCTGCCTTTATTTGCGCAGTCCCCGCATCAGCCGCTCCGCCAAGGCAGAGAGGTTCGGCACCAACGGCCGCAGCCCCGGCAGGGTTTATCCTCCACCAGGTCCTTGTGCCACTAACAGCCCGCCTCCCCACGGGGGTCTTCTCCCAGTCTCTTGCCTCTCACCGGGGATGTTTCTCGCCTCCTTGCCAGCGCCGGGAGCGCCAGGCTCTGCTCTCGCCCCGGAGCAGCCGGCGGAGAGGCGGCAGACAAAGAGGCGCTGAGGCTCCCTGACAAAGCAGCTCGGCAGCTCAGAGGGCTCGGCCGCCGCCGCTGGCACGGGCACCCCGGGCACGGGGGCACTGGGAGACCCGCGCCGCCGGGCACGGAGCGCTGGGAGGCCCAGGAGCATCGGCCCCAGCATCGGAGGCCACCGCAGACGGTCCTGTGCCGCTCGGGGCCTTTCCAGGCTGGAAGGTCTTCACCTCCGTAGAGCACCAAGCACTTGGCTGCAAAGAAACGGCACGAGGGGAGGGCGAAGGTGGCCGACAACTCCGCACTCTCGCCCCTCGGCGAGCGCGCTTCCTGATGGGGCTCCCACTTGCCTCCCGCGGGAGCCGCAGGAGGACCCGGGCCCGTCCCCGTCCCCGCTGACGTGTGCCCGGCATGTCTATGCTGCCGGGCCACGGGGGGAAACCCGGCACGGGAGCCCCGCGGAGCCTGGCCGTGACCCCCCCCACCACCTCTGGTACTCGAGGATCCTAACTCTGCTCCTTACTGTGGGTGCCAGGGGTCTGGCAGGACCACCGAGGGCATCTCCGTGACCGGGGCGCTCCACCTGCCCCGGGGGTCCTGCTCGGCTCCTCACGGCGGAGTCACCCAGGGCATCCCCCGTGCCAGCACACCGCGGGGAGGGCGGCGGGGCGCCCATGCCCGGTCACTCACCTCTTGCGGCGGCTCGTCGGGCGGCTCGGGGCCGGCCGGGGGTGAGCTGGGGGCGGCGGGCACCAGCGGCGGCGGCGGGGGGCTGACGGGCACCTTCTCCACCGCCTCCACCTTGATGAGCCGGTGCTTGGGCGAGACGTAGCGGGGCCCGTCGGGGGCGGCGGCGGCGGGTGGCGGGCCGCTGTAGGGGTCCTCGAAGTCGCGCTCCTTCTGCAGCCGGTAGGCCGCCACGATGTCGGGCTGGGCGGCGGCCAGCGGCTCGGCCGCGCCCCCGGGCGGCGGGGGCGGCTGCGGCGGCGGCCCGGCGCGGTAGTCGGGCTTGGGCGGCGCGGGGGGCGCGGGCCGGGCGCTGCGGAAGCCCAGGTGCTCGCGGAGCCAGCGGGCCATGGTGCCCACGCACTGCGGGGCCCCGCCGGCCCCCGCCCCGCCGCCGCCGCCGCCGCGCTCCGAGCCGGCCGCTCCGCTCAGCAGCATCGGCGCCGGCGGACTGAGCGCGGCGGCGGGGCCGGGGGGGCCGCGGGGGAGGCGGCCGGGGGAGGCGGCCAGTGCCACCTGCCGGAGCGCCGGGTGCGGGGCCTCCCCCGCCCCGCCCGCGCCGCGGCCCCGCGCCCGCTCCCCCCGGCACGGACCGGCGCGGCCCTGAACGCGGCCCGGCCTCCCCGGCCCGCCTCCCCCGGGGCCCGCCCCGCTCCCCGCCGCCTTCCGCCGCGCCCGGCCCGCGCCGGCTCGGCCCTCCCCGCCGCTCCGGGCCGCCCCCCGCGCTCTCGGCTCTCTCAGCGCGGCCTCGGGCGCGATCCGGCCCCGGCGCTGGCCCCCAGACACCCCGGGGCATCCCCCGGCGCCGGGAGAAGGGACACCGGGGAGGCGGCCGGCGAGGTAGAGGCGACAGAGGGTCCCTCGTGGAATCACATGTGCCCTGAGCTGGAAGGGACCTGCGAGGCTTATCGAGTCCAACTCCGCGGTGCAAACCCGCTGCCTGGGAGGTGTTGGTGGGACCAGCCCCTTGCAGGACCCCCGGAGCAGATCGCTCCAGAGAGTCACTGAAACAGCCACCAGGCTGGCACTGCAGGAAGGAGTGAGCGGGGACAAGGCAAGGAAGTGCTTCGGCAGAAGGCTGAACCCAGGCTGGATGTGCATGGACATCGGGGCGACCATGCAAGGCTGATCTGCAGCACGTGGGCTGGACGACAACCCCTGGGATGCAGCAGGAACGGGGCATTTGGAGCAGTGTGTTGGAGCATGGCAGCAAAGACCGACGTGGTCACAGCGGCAAACAGCACGGTGACACACATTCTGACTGTTCCCCCTGCACACACAGCCATCACCAGCCACCACCACCCTGCTCACCCACCACCCAGGACCGACTGTTGTACCCTCCCAAGCCCAAGCAGCCACTCTGTGCAGCCCTGTCTTCTGACCTACACCCCCAAATTCTTCCATCCCTTCCTAAACATACACCATTCACTAAAACCTGCTCCCAGACCTGCTCACAGGCTGAATCCCCAGAAGGATATGAAGAGAGAAGGGGGCCAGAGGTAGGATGCTCCAAGAGCGAGACCTCTGCAGAGGTAAAGCAATGCAGAGGCATCCAGTGAGCAGGGATAGATGCCACGCTGTGTTCCTACATGTCTTCACACTGTGAGCCATGCTGCAGCCTCACTGTGGGGCCAGATGTTGGGATGTGGCTGTCAGGGTGCTTGCTGCTGGGAGGAGAGGATGGCTGGGGACAGAAGCTTCTCGTGCTGACCTCCTTCCTTCCAGCCCTGTGCAGGAGGAGAGCAGGGATGGGGCTGCCATGGAACTGAGCCTCCTGTGCCAGCCTGGCATGGCACATGCCCAGCACATGCCCAACACATGCCCAGGGAACCCACCAGGTCCCAGGTTTGCTGAGTTATTAAGCACACTCCTGCCCAAGAAACCCAGACAGATCCCCTGGGTCCAAATGGACACCAAGGGAGTTTCCTCCCTAGGGAGAAGACAGCCATAGCACACACTGGAAATTTCAAAGCATAGGGAATGCAAAACACAAAAGGCATCAGGAGGGGAAAAAAGCATCTGCCAGAAACAGAGTGATCACCAGGCATTGTTTGACGTCTAGCAGCAGACCTCAGTCCTGGCAGATGGGGATGATGAGGTTGTTATTAAAATGCAGAAAAGACAGAGATTCTCAATAAATCTGCCTGTCCAGCATTTGGAAGGAAGCAGGATGCAGGGCTGATGGCACAGAAATTGAGAGCACTTCCACCCTCTGTCAGTAACCAAGGAGGATGTTCAGCAACATCTGTCGGAGATGGCTCTTGTTAAATCCTCAGGCCTGGAAAACACACGCTCAGTGTCTCCAGAGAGAGAACCGAGGAGGGATCAAGCTTGTAGTGGTGTTTGTTTTTTTTAAATACTACCATACCAGAGGAATTGCAGAGGTTTTTCCTTCCCATCCGGTCCTGGCACATCCCTCACATCCCTCCCTCCTTGGAGAGGCAGCTGTGCCAAGGCCATGCTGGGATTCAATGAGGGCCTGTGGTCTGAGCTCATGAAGGACCCAGCACCTCCTCACCATTTGCTGGGCCTGTTTCTCTTCCAAACTGGCCCAAGACAGCCCTGTTCTCTGATCTGTGCCCCATGGGACATCACCTTCTCACCTCAGGCTTCAGCAGAGCTAGGAGAGGCATCAAGATCCCTGGTCCCAGCTGAGCCCTCAGATTTGAGCTTCCCTTGGATATTGGTTTCCCCTGGACAAAACTACCTAGGCAGCAGGGCATCAGGTGATGAGAACTCATCTGATGTGGGAGCCCCCTCGGGAGCCTCCTTTGTGCTTGGGGACCTTTAAGGAATCTCCAGAAGGAGTCCAAATGAGCTCCTTATGCCCCGCATGGCTTGGCACAGGCACGAGCTGCTCATATTTTTTCTACAGTCACAACGAGACCCTGGTGACATCATTCCACTCGCAGTGGTTCAGGTTTGAAGGAGCAGTGACAGATTTCTGCATTCACACCATCAAAGCCAGGCTCCATCTGCAGCTCGTGCTGCAGCTGATGCTGCTCCAATCCCAACTGTTTACACGCTCCATATCTGATGCACACTGGGCCTCAGGTCTGATGCCTGCATGATAGAGACTGCCCCCGATACCGCAAGGGTGACCACAATGCCTCTCTGCCTGTGAGTCACCACGGCTCACTGTGACAGATGGCTGTCACAGCATCGCGGGTGTAGGGACTGGCGGGGCACAGGGGCAGGACTGGCAGACAGGAGAGGATCGGGGAGCACACACTGCACCACTCGTGTGCCAGACTCCACATTTCAGCTGCTCTCTCGCACAGCTGTGGTGGGAAGCCCCACCAGGTGGGATGTGCAACCCTGGCACTGCCCACAGCCCACGGAGCCCCCAGCAAGGAGGGAAGGATAGTGATGGAGCCGCTCACACACAGTCATCAGGTGGGAAGAGAACAATCCATGGCTGCAGAGGAGTGATTTGTGGCTCACTCTGATGGACTGGACTAGGGGAGGCAGAAGGCCTTCTGCAGTGGCCTGCAAGGACACAGGGGTGGCCCTCTGCACTGGGAGCTCTGCTCCCACCCTCTGCTCCACCTCTGAAGGGTCCAGGAGCTCTTCGCTGAGATCTCTGGGCTGGTTCTCACAGCATGGCCCTTCCTCTCACCAAAGGCAGCAGTAGCTGCTTGCCTGGGTAAATCCAGGCAGGTCGGAGCACGCACCAGGAAGAAAAAGCCAGGCAATGTCTTCCAGGCTCCTGCCAGCCCAGCAGAGAGCTGTGTGTGTCCTCAGCCCTCGTCTGTCCCCCTGGGCCCAGGGAGCTGCTTTGGCTGAACCCTGGTGCTTCTGGTGCTCACTTGCAGCTGGGGACAGGAGCCCTGTTTGTCAGCCAGGCCAAGAACAGGAGACAGGACCTTCCCTGGGTTTAGGAGGGCTCATACCACATCCTCCTGGTAAACCTTCTCCTCCAGTTTAACCCCGGGTGGTGTGGGCACAGCCCAGCATCCCCCAGGCAGCAGCTTCCGGTGACTCAGAGGAGAAGGTCTCTACTCCTGCACACTCCCGGATGACTCACCCCCAGGTAATGTGGGGGCTGAATCTGACACTTGCCAGCGAGTCACTTGAGTCAGGCACTGGGTTTGCTGCTTCCCCTGATGCCAGCATCTCCCCTGACTTGCCAGGGAAGCCTACAGTTCCTTGAATCTCCAGGTATGTCTTCCACAGCTTCAAATAAAAGCCATTCCCAGGAGCTTTGAAATGTCTGTTGGTGACTGCAGCTCCTTCCCTTCCCAGGAGCACCCCACATACACCCCACTGTGCAGCACAGCAGGGACCAGGAGGATGTCACCTCTGCCAGGTGAGACCCCAACTTCCCTCAAGGTCTGGGTACAGCAGGAGACGCAAGGACTGGAAGGTGGCAACTGTGACACCAGAAATGCTTCCTGGCAGCCAGGGAGTCCCAGACTGATAAATGACACATCTGTTCTCTGCAAATGAACAAAAACTGGCACACGAAGGAGGAAACTGGCATCGTTAGGGGACAGATGGATAAATATGACATAGTGGGGAAGAGTCGACACGGCTCTCTTGCAGCGAATTTCTTTTTTCAAAAGCTAGTGGCTTTCTTGGAAAAAGCCAGCAGGCCCCTGAGGGTGATCTAGCAGAGAGAGGTTCCTGCATTTCCACACCCAGGTCCTTTGATGAGATGAGGTCAGTGGCAAAATCTGCAATAATATTGAATTAATCTGGATACTGCAGATGCATGCTAAGAATTGCAGGAGGACTTTGAGAGGCTGAGCAACTTGGCAATGAAACGAGACAAAAGCCAGGGTCAGGGAAGTGACACACATGGGGAAACCAAGCCCAGGCTCATGTCTAACGTGATGGGCTCTGGGACTAGGAGATCTGACAGTCTGTGAAACTGTCCCCTCAGCACTCAGCAGAGGTCAAAACTGCAAAACTCTCCGTCAAGCTGATAGGAAGGGTGAGGAAAAAGGAGAGATGGCATTGGAGTTGCCACTGTTCCCTGGTCAGTCCCAACCTGTGTGTGATCCTTGTTCCCCTTCCCTAGGATACAGTGAACCTGGAAAATGTGCAAAGAAAGATGACAGGATGATCCAAGGCCTCTGCACATGGGGCACGTGAAGGGCCAAGGATCTTTGGCATGGAAAAGAGACAGCTGGGGTCACAAGACAGATCTGCATGGCTGGGGGAGTTGGGGAGAGACAGGAATATCAGGGATAATGCAAGGAGGAGACAGTGCACAGCAGCTCTCCTTGCTGGGGGCCACTGCAGATGCTACGTGGTTTAGGAACAAGACCAGACAAATCCACAGAAAAAAAATCCATAAATACAAACACATACTAAATACAAGGACTGGCACAAGGAGCCTTGTGAGTATTTATTGTGTCCATGGGAAGTGTTGCAACACATTTGCACCAGGAGGCCGTCAAAGCCTGGGCAGGATACGCTCAAAGCATGTGCTT